GGGCTGCCCGGGCCGGCCGCGCGGGTGCTGCCCGGGCCGGCCGCGCGGGCTGCCCGGGCCGGCCGCGCGGGGCTGCCCGGGCCGGCCGCGCGGGCTGCCCGGGCCGGCCGCGCGGGGCTGCCCGGGCCGGCCGCGCGGGGCTGCCCGGGCCGGCCGCGCGGGGCTGCCCGGGCCGGCCGCGCGGGGCTGCCCCGGGCCGGCCGCGCGGGGCTGCCCGGGCCGGCCGCGCGGGGGTGCCCGGGCCGGCCGCGCGGGGCTGCCCGGGCCGGCCGCGCGGGGCTGCCCGGGCCAGCCGCGCGGGGCTGCCCGGGCCGGCCGCGCGGGGCTGCCCGGGCCGGCCGCGCGGCCGGGCCGGCCGCGCGGGGCTGCCCGGGCCGGCCCGCGGGGCTGCCCGCCGGCCGCGCGGGGCTGCCCGGGCCGGCGCGCGGGGCTCCCGGCCGGCCGCGCGGGGCTGCCCGGGCCGGCCCGCGGGGCTGCCCGGGCCGGCCGCGCGGGGCTGCCCGGGCCGGCCGCGCGGGGCTGCCCGGGCCGGCCGCGCGGGGCTGCCCGGGCCGGCCGCGCGGGCTGCCCGGGCCGGCCGCGCGGGGCTGCCCGGGGCCGGCCGCGCGGGGCTGCCCGGGCCGGCCGCGCGGGGCTGCCCGGGCCGGCCGCGCGGGGCTGCCCGGCCGGCCGCGCGGGGCTGCCCGGGCCGGCCGCGCGGGGCTGCCCGGGCCGGCCGCGCGGGGCTGCCCGGGCCGGCCGCGCGGGGCTGCCCGGGCCGGCCGCGCGGGGGCTGCCCGGGCCGGCCGCGCGGGGCTGCCCGGGCCGGCCGCGCGGGGCTGCCCGGGCCGGCCGCGCGGGGCTGCCCGGGGCCGGCCGCGCGGGGCTGCCCGGCCGGCCGCGCGGGGCTGCCCGGGCCGGCCGCGCGGGGCTGCCCGGGCCGGCCGCGCGGGGCTGCCCGGGCCGGCCGCGCGGGGCTGCCCGGGCCGGCCGCGCGGGGCTGCCCGGGCCGCCGCGCGGGCTGCCCGGGCCGCCGCGCGGGGGCTGCCCGGGCCGGCCGCGCGGGGCTGCCCGGGCCGGCCGCGCGGGGCTGCCCGGGCCGGCCGCGCGGGGCTGCCCGGCCGGCCGCGCGGGGCTGCCCGGGCCGGCCGCGCGGGGCTGCCCGGGCCGGCCGCGCGGGGCTGCCCGGGCCGGCCGCGCGGGGCTGCCCGGGCCGGCCGCGCGGGGCTGCCCGGGCCGGCCGCGCGGGGCTGCCCGGGCCGGCCGCGCGGGGCTGCCCGGGCCGGCCGCGCGGGGCTGCCCGGGCCGGCAGCGCGGGGCTGCCCGGGCCGGCCGCGCGGGCTGCCCGGGCCGGCCGCGCGGGGCTGCCCGGGCCGGCCGCGCGGGGCTGCCGGCCGGCCGCGCGGGGCTGCCCGGGCCGGCCGCGCGGGGCTGCCCGGGCCGGCCGCGCGGGGCTGCCCGGGCCGGCCGCGCGGGGCTGCCCGGGCCGGCCGCGCGAGGGCTGCCCCGGGCCGGCCGCGCGGGCTGCCCGGGCCGGCCGCGCGGGGCTGCCCGGGCCGGCCGCGCGGGGCTGCCCGGGCCGGCCGCGCGGGGCTGCCCGGGCCGGCCGCGCGGGGCTGCCGGGCCGGCCGCGCGGGGCTGCCCGGGCCGGCCGCGCGGGGCTGCCCGGGCCGGCCGCGCGGGGCTGCCCGGGCCGGCCGCGCGGGGCTGCCCGGGCCGCCGCGCGGGGCTGCCCGGGCCGGCCGCGCGGGGCTGCCCGGCCGGCCGCGCGGGGCTGCCCGGGCCGGCCGCGCGGGGCTGCCCGGGCCGGCCGCGCGGCTGCCCGGGCCGGCCGCGCGGGGCTGCCCGGGCCGGCCGCGCGGGGCTGCCCGGGCCGGCCGCGCGGGGCTGCCCGGGCCGGCCGCGCGGGGCTGCCCGGGCCGGCCGCCGGAGGCTGCCCGGGCCGGCCGCGCGGGGCTGCCCGGGCCGGCCGCGCGGGGCTGCCCGGGCCGGCCGCGCGGGGCTGCCCGGGCCGGCCGCGCGGGGCTGCCGGGCCGGCCGCGCGGGCTGCCCGGGCCGGCCGCGCGGGGCTGCCCGGGCGCCGCGCGGGGCTGCCCGGGCCGGCCGCGCGGGGCTGCCCGGGCCGGCCGCGCGGGGCTGCCCGGGCCGGCCGCGCGGGGCTGCCCGGGCCGGCCGCGCGGGGCTGCCCGGGCGGCCGCGCGGGGCTGCCCGGGCCGGCCGCGCGGGGCTGCCCGGGCCGGCCGCGCGGGGCTGCCCGGGCCGGCCGCGCGGGGCTGCCCGGGCCGGCCGCGCGGGGCTGCCCGGGCCGGCCGCGCGGGGCTGCCCGGGCCGGCCGCGCGGGGCTGCCCGGGCCGGCCGCGCGGGGCTGCCCGGGCCGGCCGCGCGGGCTGCCCGGGCCGGCCGCGCGGGGCTGCCGGGCCGGCCGCGCGGGGCTGCCCGGGCCGGCCGCGCGGGGCTGCCCGGCCGGCCCGCGGGGCTGCCCGGGCCGGCCGCGCGGGGCTGCCCGGGCCGGCCGCGCGGGGCTGCCCGGGCCGGCCGCGCGGGGCTGCCCGGGCCGGCCGCGCGGGGCTGCCCGGCCGGCCGCGCGGGGCTCCCGGGCCGGCCGCGCGGGGCTGCCCGGGCCGGCCGCGCGGGCTGCCCGGGCCGGCCGCGCGGGGCTGCCGGGCCGGCCGCGCGGGGCTGCCCGGGCCGGCCGCGCGGGGCTGCCCGGGCCGGCCGCGCGGGCTGCCCGGGCCGGCCGCGCGGGGCTGCCCGGGCCGGCCGCGCGGGGCTGCCCGGGCCGGCCGCGCGGGGCTGCCCGGGCCGGCCGCGCGGGGCTGCCCGGGCCGGCCGCGCGGGGCTGCCCGGGCCGGCCGCGCGGGGCTGCCCGGGCCGGCCGCGCGGGGCTGCCCGGGCCGGCCGCGCGGGGCTGCCCGGGCCGGCCGCGCGGGGCTGCCCGGGCCGGCCGCGCGGGGCTGCCCGGGCCGGCCGCGCGGGGCTGCCCGGGCCGGCCGCGCGGGGCTGCCCGGGCCGGCCGCGCGGGGCTGCCCGGGCCGGCCGCGCGGGCTGCCCGGGCCGGCCGCGCGGGGCTGCCCGGGCCGGCCGCGCGGGGCTGCCCGGGCCGGCCGCGCGGGGCTGCCCGGGCCGGCCGCGCGGGGCTGCCCGGGCCGGCCGCGCGGGGCTGCCCGGGCCGGCCGCGCGGGGCTGCCCGGGCCGGCCGCGCGGGGCTGCCCGGGCCGGCCGCGCGGGCTGCCCGGGCCGGCCGCGCGGGCTGCCCGGGCCGGCCGCGCGGGGCTGCCCGGGCCGGCCGCGCGGGGCTGCCCGGGCCGGCCGCGCGGGGCTGCCCGGGCCGGCCGCGCGGGGCTGCCCGGGCCGGCCGCGCGGGGCTGCCGGGCCGGCCGCGCGGGGCTGCCCGGGCCGGCCGCGCGGGGCTGCCCGGGCCGGCCGCGCGGGGCTGCCCGGGCCGGCCGCGCGGGGCTGCCCGGGCCGGCCGCGCGGGGCTGCCCGGGCCGGCCGCGCGGGGCTGCCCGGGCCGGCCGCGCGGGGCTGCCCGGGCCGGCCGCGCGGGGCTGCCCGGGCCGGCCGCGCGGGGCTGCCCGGGCCGGCCGCGCGGGCTGCCCGGGCCGGCCGCGCGGGGCTGCCCGGGCCGGCCGCGCGGGGCTGCCCGGGCCGGCCGCGCGGGCTGCCCGGGCCGGCCGCGCGGGGCTGCCCGGGCCGGCCGCGCGGGGCTGCCCGGGCCGGCCGCGCGGGGCTGCCCGGCCGGCCGCGCGGGCTGCCCGGGCCGGCCGCGCGGGGCTGCCCGGGCCGGCCGCGCGGGGCTGCCCGGGCCGGCCGCGCGGGGCTGCCCGGGCCGGCCGCGCGGGGCTGCCCGGGCCGGCCGCGCGGGGCTGCCCGGGCCGGCCGCGCGGGGCTGCCCGGGCCGGCCGCGCGGGCTGCCCGGGCCGGCCGCGCGGGGCTGCCCGGGCCGGCCGCGCGGGGCTGCCCGGGCCGGCCGCGCGGGGCTGCCCGGGCCGGCCGCGCGGGGCTGCCCGGGCCGGCCGCGCGGGGCTGCCCGGGCCGGCCGCGCGGGGCTGCCCGGGCCGGCGCGCGGGGCTGCCCGGGCCGGCCGCGCGGGGCTGCCCGGGATGGCGCCGCTTTGGCGTGTCTCCCGGCCCCCCCCCCTCGTCCTTGCGCGCCTGGGCCTCTCGCTTTCGGTCTGCCGGCTTCTCTTTCTGCTCGCCAGCCCTTGCCGGTCTGCTATGTCTGCCTTCCGACGCGCCTGCTCCTCCTCTCGCTTAGACACCCTGGGTGGTTAGTGTGGGCAGGCAGGGAAGGGATGGGAGGAGGAAATTTGGGACGCCTTGTGACAGGGGCGGTGTGCATCAGTGCAGTGCACATGCATACAGTCGAATCTCGCTGGATTCGAAACGCAGCAAGCGTACTAAGAGTAACGCTGGATTGTTTAGAATTCCAAAAAATAATCTGCTGCATCAGTGCAGTGCACATGCGTACATGGATACATGTATGCATGCTCTGTGACTATAACTGTTAAAAAAAAAAAAGCATCGTGATTGAAATCGGTGTTGCTCACTTCAAGAGATGTCAGGCGCCGGAGGGGCGTGCTGAGAAGAGCATCAGCTTGTATCGAGGATAAGCCGAGGTCTGGCATGGGTTCATGCACACATGCATATCACGAACACACACACCAAGTCACACACAGACCGACACACACAGACCAACACACACACACACACACACACACACGCGCACACACACACACACACACACGCACACACACACACACACACACACACACCCACCCACCCACCCACCCACTCACACACACGCACACACACACACACGCACACACACACACACACACACACACCCACCCACTCACACACACGCACACACACGCACACACACACACACGCACACACACGCACACACACACACACACGCACACACACACACGCACACACACGCGTGCGCGCCCGCGTGCACACACACACACACAAAGACGGGTACGGTTCAGAGAAATACCATACTGCAGTTCTCTTCCTTTACAGAATGGGGGAAGGACAGGGGAAGGACTTTTGAGGCACCTTAAAAGTCGTCAGAGAAACACCATACTGCACTGCAGTTGTCTTCCTCCACAGAATGGGGAAGGACAGGGGAAGGAGGGCTCGGGAGAAAGGGTTGGGGGAGTGGATGGGATGGGTTCGAACGAAAGCACCTTGCTGGAGGGTGGCAGCAGCATCAGCAGGAGTGGCAGCCGCCTTGAGAATGTCCACCATCCGATCCAGGCTTCTGAGACCGATGAGCAGACCCTGGGGGTTGCAGCAGAGGTGGCGAAGGGAAGGGGATGGATGGGATGGGATGGGATGGGATGGGATGGGATGGGACGGGAGGTGAAGGGAAGGAGTGGCAGCCGCCTTGAGAATGTCCACCATCCGATCCAGGCTTTCCAGGCCAATCAGCAGACCCTGGGTGGTGTGTGCAGAGAAGAGGAGAGGAGTCGCTCGCAGGTGGTGCGGAGGAAAGAGGGAGGGAGGAGATGTAAGAAGAATGAAGAATCAAGGGAAGACATGGGAGAGAAGAATGGAGTGGTTGCAGATTGTAGCTCTGATCTGGGCTGGATGCTGAACAACACGTACGTACCTGCACGTAGTGCTCCCGGTCCTCGGCCTTCCGAAGCTGGAATCTGGTTCGGCGCTCGATGACCTGGCAGCGGAAGTCCAGAAAGACCTGAATGTGTTTGGGGTGGGGAAAAGGAGCAGTGAGGGCAAGAAGCGACTCAGAGAGCCGTGTCAGTCCAGGAAGACTTGAATCATCAGTGGAGAAGAGTCATCTAGTTTGGCGCTCGATGATCTGGCAACGGAAGTCCAGAAAGACCTGAATGTGTGTGGGGGTTGGGAAAAGGAGCGGGGAGGGCAAAAAGCGATTCAGAGAGCAGTGTAAGTCCAGGAAGTCTTGAGTAATCATTGGAGAAGAGTCACTTGGTTCAGTGCTCGATGACCTGGCAGCGGAAGTCCAGAAAGACCTGAATGTGTGTGGGGTGGGGCCAAGGAGGGGGCGATAGGGAAGAACCAACTATAATTGACTCAATATGCAGGAAAAATCCAGAACGATTGATTGCGTGTGGGGTGGGGCCGGGCAGGGGCGAGAGGGTGGATGGTTGTGGGGGCGAGGGGATGATGAGTGAGCGAGGGAAGGGAACGAGATGTAGGGACGCAAAGGGTGGGAGAGAAACCAGGTTCGTTTGATGCAACAACACAGAGAGAGAATGTCAAAATCTGGAGTGTGACTCACCTGGAAAAAGTCCCTGAGAGTCATTTCCTTGGGCTCGCCATTGACCAGGCTGAGGGGAAGAGCGGGGAGGGGAAGACAGGATGGATGGGTGTGAGAGGAAAGTGTAGTGTGGGAGGAATGGGAGGAGAGAGCAAGAGAAAGAGGGAAGTCTCAGAGAGTCATCTCCCTGGGCTCGCCATTTATCAGGCTGAGGGGAAGAGCAGATGAGGGGGTGGAGCGGAAACAGGAATTACTATGGGAGGACTGGGGCTATTGGGAGGGATGAAAGGTGGGTGGGGGAAATGGCAAAGGGAGGAACGGTTTGAAAAAAGTCTCTCCCTGCCCGAGAAATTTCCTCTGATGGTACCCCACACCATGCATTGGAGACCCTGTTGCTCACCCCACCAGGTTGCAGTTGAAGCGGGACCGCAGCTGAGTGTGTTTGTACAGCGATGCCAGCACAGCCATGGGATCGCCGAGGCAGTTACACACCTTGATCACCCAATACCAGTCAAACCAGCACAAGTAACCCCAACCCCACTCACCCCACCAGGTTGCAGTTGAAGCGCGACTGCAGCTGAGTGTGTTTGTACAGCGATGCCAGCACAGCCATGGGGGTGGCAAGGCAATGACATCCCTAGTCAACCCCACCACCACTCATCCCAACCACCCACTCACCCCACCAGGTTGCAGTTGAAGCGCGACTGCAGCTGAGTGTGTTTGTACAGCGATGCCAGCACAGCCATGGGGGTGGCAAGGCAATGACATCCCTAGTCAACCCCACCACCACTCATCCCAACCACCCACTCACCCCACCAGGTTGCAGTTGAAGCGCGACTGCAGCTGAGTGTGTTTGTACAGCGATGCCAGCACAGCCATGGGGGTGGCAAGGCAATGACATCCCTAGTCAACCCCACCACCACTCATCCCAACCACCCACTCACCCCACCAGGTTGCAGTTGAAGCGCGACTGCAGCTGAGTGTGTTTGTACAGCGATGCCAGCACAGCCATGGGGGTGGCAAGGCAATGACATCCCTAGTCAACCCCACCACCACTCATCCCAACCACCCACTCACCCCACCAGGTTGCAGTTGAAGCGCGACTGCAGCTGAGTGTGTTTGTACAGCGATGCCAGCACAGCCATGGGGGTGGCAAGGCAATGACATCCCTAGTCAACCCCACCACCACTCATCCCAACCACCCACTCACCCCACCAGGTTGCAGTTGAAGCGCGACTGCAGCTGAGTGTGTTTGTACAGCGATGCCAGCACAGCCATGGGGGTGGCAAGGCAATGACATCCCTAGTCAACCCCACCACCACTCATCCCAACCACCCACTCACCCCACCAGGTTGCAGTTGAAGCGCGACTGCAGCTGAGTGTGTTTGTACAGCGATGCCAGCACAGCCATGGGGGTGGCAAGGCAATGACATCCCTAGTCAACCCCACCACCACTCATCCCAACCACCCACTCACCCCACCAGGTTGCAGTTGAAGCGCGACTGCAGCTGAGTGTGTTTGTACAGCGATGCCAGCACAGCCATGGGGGTGGCGCCGCGTTTCACCTCCACGACCACGCGCATGCCCCCCCGGTCGCTCTCATCACGAATGTCACTCACGCCCTCCACCACTTTTCTGTTAACCAGTTCAGCCATCTTTTCCACCAGTGCGGCCTTATTGGTTTGATATGGGAGCTGTTTGGCGGATAGGAGGGAAGGGAGGGCAGGGAAAGCAGGGTGGGAGATTAAGGGAGGCGTCGCCCCTCGTTTCACCTCCACCACCACACGCATGCCCCCCCGGTCGCTCTCATCGCGGATGTCATTCACGCCCTCCACCACCTTGCTGTTAACAAGTTCAGCCATTTTTTCGACTAAGGCAGCTTTGTTCGTCTGGTATGGCAACTGTTTGAGGGGGAGGTGAGGGTGGGGGAAGAGAGGAGGGTGTCACCACCACGCCCATGCCCCCCCGGTCGCTCTCATCCCGGATGTCACTCACACCCTCCACCATCTTGCTGTTCACTAACTCGGCCATCTTCTCCACTAGAGCAGCTTTATTGGTCTGATAAGGCAACTGTGTGAGTGAGTGGGAGGTGGGGGTGGGGGTGGGGGGAGGAGGGTGTGTCATCACAAGCTAAGCTGAGCAACCCCGGTCGCTCTCATCGCGGAAGTCTCTCACGCCCTCCACCACCTTGCTGTTCACTAACTCTGCCATCTTCTCCACCAGGGCGGCCTTATTTGTTTGATACGGCAGCTGGTCGTGGGGAGGAAAGGGAGTGGGTGGAGGATGGAGGGGGTGTCAACACAAGCCATGCCCCCCCGGTCGCTCTCGCCCCGGATGTCACTCACCCCCTCCACCACCTTGCTGTTAACAAGTTCCGCCATTTTCTCCACCAGGGCGGCCTTGTTTGTCTGATATGGTAACTGTTCGGGAAAGGGATGGGTTCGGGAAGGAGAGGGTGTCAACACCATGCCCCCCCGGTCGCTCTCATCGCGGATGTCACTCACCCCTTCCACCACCTTGCTGTTCACCAACTCCCTCCACACCAAAGTAATACACCTCAACCACCACCTATCCACTCTCACGCACCTCTGTGATCACAATGCCAATCCGGTTGCCTCTGCTCCCTGCTCCCCCTCCGCCCAGCTCCTCCACATACGCCCTCCCCCGCACCACTATGGATCCTCTTCCCGTGCGATATGCCTCCTCCATGCTGCTCAAGGGGGGGAAGAAAGGAAACCTGAATCTATTTTCTGAGGCACCAGGCACCTACAACATTCCGCCCAGTCTCCTCCACATACGCGCTTCCTCGCACCACTATTGACCCTCGTCCCATGCGATACGCTTCCTCCATGCTGAATGGGGAAAAAGGGAGGGAAGCGGGGACATATTACAGAGGTGCCCACCTACTCCACATACGCCCTCCCCCGCACCACTATTGACCCTCGTCCCGTGCGATACGCCTCTTCCATGCTGCTCAAGAGGGGGAAGAACGGAAACCTGAGTCCATTTCAAACGTACTAGACACTTACAACATTCCTCCCACCTACTCCACATACGCCTTCCCACGCACCACTATTGACCCCCTCCCTGTCCAATATGCCTCCTCCATGCTGCTTTGCGGTGCAAAAAGGGAAAAGGGAAAGTGAGCATGAGCTCTAACCTGTGGTGATGGTGGGGTTGGAATTTGTCGGCAACAACTAACGCACCTACTGCGCCACTGTGCAACTCTCTGAGTCACGCCCAGCCCAGCCCCTCCCTAGCGTACCACTTTTGAGGCGCCTCAAGAGTCGCACCTACTGCGCCACTGTGCAACTCTGAGTCACGCGCAGCCCCTCCCTAGCGTACGCACCCTGATGTGCTGAGGATGACCCCTCCAGTGGGGAAGTCTGGTCCTTGGCAGATCTGCATGAGCTAGTCCGTGCTGATGGCGGGGTTGCCAGCCTTTCACCCACGTGCCTTCCCCAAACACCCCCACCTGCGTTACTCCGTAACCAATACCTTTGCAAACGTACCCTGCCGTGCCGAGGATGACCCCTCCAGTGGGGAAGTCCGGTCCTTTGCAGATCTGCATGAGCTCCTCTGTGCTGATGGCAGGGTTGCCTCCCCTTAACACGTCCCCTCTTCCCTCCACCTACATACCCCAATGTGCCGAGGATGACTCCTCCAGTGGGGAAGTCTGGTCCTTTGCAGATCTGCATGAGCTCCTTTGTGCTGATGGCGGGGTTACCTACCTACACATGAACCTTTTATTCTCAGGCAATACTGTTCCACACACATGCGTACCCCGATGTGCCGAGGATGACCCCTCCAGTAGGGAAGTCTGGGCCTTTACAGATCTGCATGAGCTGCTCTGTGCTGATGGCAGGGTTGTCAATGAACGCTGAGAGGGCATCCACGAGCTCGGTCAGATTGTGGGGGGGGATGTTGGTAGCCATGCCTACCTGCATGGGTGCAGGGGGGTAGAATGAGGTGCAGGAGGGTACAGAATGGGAAAGGGGAAAAGCCCGGTCCCAAGCAGATCTGCATGAGCTCCTCTGCGCTGATGGCGGGGTTGTTTATGAAGGCTGAGAGTGCGTCCACGAGTTCACTCAGGTTGTGGGGCGGGATGTTGGTCGTCATGCCCACCTGAAGCGGTGCAGGGGAGTAAAGGGGGATCCAAAGTGGTACAGGGGGACCTAGGCAGATCTTCATGAGCTGCTCTGCGGTGATGCTGGGGTTGTCAATGAATGCTGAGAGGGCGTCCTCAGGCTGATTTCAATGAATGCTGGGGTGATTTCACTCAGGTTGTGGGGCGGGATGTTGGTCGCCATGCCCACCTGGAGGGATGCATGCGGGTATGGGAAGGTACAGGTGGGTGCAGTGGGGTGCAGGGGACAAGGAAGTGAATTAAAAAGTGGTGATGGCAGGATTGTCGATGAATGCTGAAAGTGCATCCACGATTTCACTCAGGTTGTGCGGGAGGATGTTGGTGGCCATGCCCACCTGAAGAGCTGCAGGGGGGTAGAATGAGGTGCAGGAGGGTAACAGGAATGAGGGAGGGGCAAACAGGGTTGTCAATGAATGCTGATAGCGCATCCACAAGCTCACTCAGATTGTCCAAGGGATGTTGGTGGCCACGCCCACCTGAAGAGGTGCAGGGGGGTGCAGGGAGGTACAGAGTGGTACTGTTGGGTGCAGACTGCGAGCAGTAATGGCACGACACGACATGCACGTTGTCCAGTGTGGTTCCTGTAGGATTGTCAAACTCATGCGTGGTCCAAGGGAATAGACATACGAAAGTCTGCAGCATTGTTCCCTCGTCGCTAAACAATCAGCTTTTCACCCACAGCAGTCCATCGAGGCGACAGAAAAGGAAGCACCGCAGGCAGCATAAGACGTACCGCAATGCCTTGAGAGCCGTTGAGAAGTAGCACAGGGATGCGAGCAGGAAGCACTGTTGGCTCGTTGGTTGATGCGTCGAAGTTGGGTGCAAAGTCAACCTGAGATGGGGGAAGGGCGAGGAGCGGGGGTGGGGGCAGCAGAGATGGGAAAGAGAGGGCTTTTGAGGGCTTTTGGGAAGCACTGGTTGATGCATCGAAATTGGGTACAAAGTCAACCTGAGAGGGGGGAAGGGGTGGACATAAGAATATGCAGCAGTATGATGGGATGGGATGGGATGGGATGGGATGGGATGGGATGGGATGGGATGGGATGGGATGGGATGGGATGGGATGGGATGGGATGGGATGGGATGGGATGGGATGGGATGGGATGGAATGGGATGGGATGGGATGGGATGGGATGGGATGTGACGAGATGAGATGTGACGAGATGAGATGTGACGAGATGTGATGTGATGTGATGTGATGTGATGTGATGTGATGTGATGTGATGTGATGTGATGTGATGTGATGTGATGTGATGTGATGTGATGTGATGTGATGTGATGTGATGTGATGTGATGTGATGTGATGTGATGTGATCAGATGTGATCAGATGTGATCAGATGTGATCAGATGTGATGAGATGTGATCAGATGTGATCAGATGTGATGAGATTTCCAGTCAGCTGCCAAACAGAGAATGACCACAAGTGACGAAGGCCCCAGTTGGACAATTTTCTAAAGCCATTTAAAAAACAGCTGGCCACAAGTGACGACGGTCCTTACCTGACACCAATTCCCAGCCCGCTACTGACTGAGTCACTACGAATGCCCTCCAGAAGCAACTTCGGAGGCGACTCAAAAGACGACAGCCCTGACCCGCCACTGATCCCACCCCAGCCCCCTACTGACCGTGTCGCTGCGAATGTCTTCCAAAAGCATTTTCTCCGTGAGGGGCTGGCGAGGAGGAATGGGGGAGAAGAGAGGAAGAGCATAGATATAAGCACGCAAGAGTGGAAATATGGGAATGGGAGTGGGTTGTATTGAAAGTGGGAGAATGGGAGTTGTATCGTGAGGATAAGTGTGAGAGAAAGAGATCAGAGAAGCGAACTCGATGAAGCTGGAGGGGTGGCTTTGCCCATGGCAACAGGCGATCTACTTACCTGCACTGCAAGCGGCACTCAGTGTAGCGCATGGCAGCAGCACGATCAGCATCGACAGACCCAAAGTTGCGGTGGCGTGCACGAGAGCGGGGTGGGGTGATCACTGGTCTGATGCAGCAGCAGAAAAAGGGGTAGCTGCTTATAAAAGGTCACCTGTCCTGTCCTGTTCATCAGGTGTTACCTGCAAGCGGCACTCGGTGTATCTCATCGCAGCAGCAGGGTCAGCATCGACAGAGCCAAAGTTGCCGTGCCCGTGCACGAGTGGAGCACGCAGAGAGAAGTCTTGTGCCATGCGCACTAGAGCATCGTACACTGCCGTGTCACCATGTGGGTGGAACCTTCCTAGCACCTGTGAAATGGGAATGGGAGGTGAGAGGAACGAGGATAAGCGTCAGGGGGCAGTAGGGGACGCAGAGAGAAATCCTGGACCATGCGCACTAGAGCGTCATTTACCGCCATGTCACCATGTGGGTGGAACCTTCCTAGCACCTGTGAGAAGGTCGTCAAGATAGAAGATACATAGGAGAGGTGATAAGTACACTGGGAGAAGTCCTGGGGCACACGCACTAGAGCGTCATACACCGCCGTGTCACCATGTGGGTGGAAGCGTCCTAGCACCTGCAGAGCAGAGAAAGAGGATGGGCGAGAGCAGGTTGCAAGAGGATGGGCGAGAGCAGGTTGCAGAGACAAGTCCTGCGCCATGCGGACTCGGGCATCATAGACTGCTGTGTCACTGTGTGGGTGGGAGCGGCCTAGGACCTGTGGGACACAGAAAGTAAAGGGTGGGGACAAAAGGGGACGACAGATACACGGCAGAGAGGCTCAGGTTGCAGAGACAAGTCGTGCGCCACGCTCACTAGGGTATTATAGACCGCTGTGTCGCCATGCGGGTGGAAGCGGCCTAGGACCTGTGGGATTTGGTTCACCAGTAAGAAAAGAAGGCTAAATAGCGGGCACGGATAGTGTTTTGAGACGTCTCAAAACATCTCTTTTATCACGTGGCAATTTGGTGCACCAGTAAGAAAAGAGGGCTAAATAGCGGGCACGGATAGTGGGCATCGGTGGTGCGTAGGGGTGTCCCTTGAGACAGGCAAAACTGAGAGCCTGGAGAGGGATTGATAAGAGGACCAACAAACCAGAATAGAATGGAAAAGTCACTCCACCAGACACGGTGGCAGCAGCAGGAGCAGGAGCAGCAGCAGCAGCAGCGGCAGCAGCGGAAGGAGCAGCAACAGCAGGAGGTGGAGGAGGAGGAGGAGGAGGAGGAGGAGGAGGAGGAGGAGGAGGAGGAGGAGGAGGAGGAGGAGGAGGAGGAGGAGGAGGAGGAGGAGGAGGCAGGTGGGCCGGCAGAGAGGGCCACAGACGCACCTCTCCCACGACTCTAGCTGACTTGCGAAAAGGCTTGGATGACGTCAGGCCCAGCTCGTGCATGGCGTAGCTGGGGGAAGGGAGGAAGGGGGGATGGTGGGAGCCACGGTTGACAGGGATGAGGATGCTTGGATGGGCTTGGATGACGTCAGGCCCAGCTCATGCATGGCGTAACTGGGGAAGTGGAAGAGAGGGGGACGGTGGGGGTCAGGGCTGACAAGGATGGGGATGCCTGGATGGGTTTCGATGACCTCAAACCTAGCTCATGTATGGCGTAGCTTGGGGAGAGGGGAGGGATGGTGGATTGGTGGGGGGTCAGGGTTGACAGGGGTGTTGACACTCAGACAGGTTTGGATCATGCCAGCCCCAGCTTGTGCGTGACGGTGCTTGAAGAGGGGGAGAAGAAACGGTGGGGGGTTCAAGTGGACGGGGATGACAGGAGATTAGGCATCAGGTGACGCCAGACCAGGAAGTTAATTTTGAGGCGCCTAAAGAAGAAACGGCGGCATCAGTTGACGCCAGGCCCAGCTCATGCACAATATGAGCATGAGGCGTAGCTGGGTAAAATGGGGCGACACACTCACAATATGTGGCATTGCACAGCTCCTCTGCCAGATTCACGGAACGTTGCAGGGAGCACTGCTTTGAAAAGCATCACTTCACTCACAGGATGCAGCAATGCACTGGCTTCAGCCCAGCCCATCATGGGCGTCAGGCAGAGTGCAGCTCGTGGCATTAAATGGCATCACGACTGCACCTCTGATCCCTAAATGGCTTTGTCAAGACTCACTCACAGGATGCGGCGGTGAACTGGCTTCAATCCATCCCTGGCGTCAGGCAGTGCACGGCCGACAATGACGGACATGGCATACGACACATACGACTGCACCGCCTCCTCATGCAACTCCACCTCCTCCACCTTGCCCGCTGCCACTGCCTCTCCAATGGCCCTTTCATTGATTGATACAAGGTCATACAGGCGTGCACGGCAAATGCTAAACGCGGGAAGGTCTAAGGCATATCCCTCAGCATACGCACACATGAACTCTACCCCCTTCCCCCCCCCCCCCCCCCCCCCCCCCCCTTAAGCTAGGTCCAGAGCAGGATCCAGGACCGAGAGGCAGTCCCCTAGGGACGGGGCCTCCCCCACTGGCTCTAGCAGTGGGTTTTCTATGGCAGCTGCTATGCTGCACTTTTCTAGGTAACCAATCGACTGCCCCCTTTGAAGAGCCACCGACCACCGCTGCCGGTATTGGTGTAGAAGCTTGGCAGCTTGGTAGGAGGTGGGCTCGGCGTTGAAGAACCGCCTTGCAGCTGTATCCGCGAGCAGTTTCAGGAAGTCTACTGTCTCAGGGCATGGGCACCCATACGTCTCGACCGCTAGTGGGAAGAACTTCACCCACTCCGGGCGGTCCGTGTACAAGCCGTGCTTAATGTCTGCAGCTTCTCGTGCCGCCCATCCCCGCCCCTTAGATGCATTCTCGTCGCGGGTGCTGATGGGGTCCGTCACCGTCACATCACAGATGTAGACGGCGCCGGTGGAGCGGCATCGTAAGGCCAAATCCGCCTTCTTCTCCTCCACGGGGCTGAAGGCAGCCGTCTCTATGTGTACCATGAATCCAGCGTCTCGCGCCATCCGTGCGCACTCGTCTCGTAACTCATTATGTGTGTTTGTGCGTCCCCCCCCCGTGCCGCAGCGTAGCAGGTGGTTCGGAAGCCGCTTATCTGGGATCTTCACCTTCTTTGTGCAGTTGCAAACCCCTGGAGCAGTGAAGGGGAGGCCTAGCCGGAACTGGACCGCATTGGCATAGTGGGGGACCTCTAAGCGTAGCGAGGAGTGGATGGGCACGGCGTTTAACCAGTCCCCAGCCCCGTACCCTGACAGGGACAGCAGCCGCTGCGTGTGGCCGTTGTTGTGGTTTGGCCTCATCCCCCTCGCCTCCTCCACCTGCATGGCATAGTGCTGGCCCTGGATCGCCGTGGCCAGGCCGTGCTGCAGCTTCCCCGCGGTTGGAGCTGTTCTTTCTGCTTGCAGGGCCTCTTGTGCCGACAGGGGGAGCTCCTCCTCACAATCCGCTAGCCATTCGGTCAGAGGAGAGGACCGCGTGTATGGGCCGCGCATCAGCTCTCGTGTAGCGTCCAATGGGCCGATGCGCTCGCCATCCAAGGAGTCAAGCAGCAGCTGCGCCTGCGTGTAGCTGGCGAGGAAGCTGTAGCCTCCTTCCACGGTGGGGTCGGTCAGGCCAAGCCCTCCCAACGACACGGGGAGAGAGGCTTGCGCCCACGTACGTGAAGTTTCCTCCCCGCGCGGGTGATTGATGCCGCATGCCGTCAGGAGCGTTTCCAGCAGCCTCCTTCCCCATTCTGACCACTCCTCCTTGGGCAGGGATGGCAGCGGTGTTGTGCGGGCTAGGTAAGACACCCGGCGCGAGATGCACCGAGAAAGCAGCAGCCCAGCCAGCTGAGGCTCCATCTGCTCAATCAACCCCAGAGGCGCTCCCATTGCCTCCAGGCTGGTCCGCACAAAGGCTGAGGTAGCCGTGGTGGTGCCGATGTAGCTCCCCAACACCTTCAAGCCGTCATGACTTGGGGGAACTCCTTCAGGTAGGTGTACATCTGTGGGCGGCCCATCTGACCATGCCCCGCACTTTGCAGGGTTGTGCCTCAGCCCTATTTCTGCCAGGCGGCCCGTGAAGTTGTTGAATGCAGCGGCACATGCCGACGGTTCTCCCAAAAAGGTGACGTCGTCCGCGTAGGCAAGGCAGATGACATCTGGATGTGCCTCCGCGGCCGCCTTCAGGGCTGGGTGCATGGCCGCGGCAAAGAGAAGGGGGCCGAGGGGATCCCCCTGACGGACTCCCGTCTCGCTGAGCAGGGGCGGGTGATTGAAGGCCGCGTCCAGATGCAGAGTGGACGGCTGGCCGTAGGAGAAGTGTACCAGTGGCAGCAGCGGTTCAAGCTTCGAGCCTTTCAATGCCGACGCTATGGCGTGGCGATCCACACTGTTGAAGGCGTTCGCCAAGTCGGCCTGTAGGACCAGCGCGTTTCTGTTGGCCGCGGTGAAGGTTCGTACAACGTGAATGACCGCTTCCGCTCCTCCGGGGACAGCCACGCCAAATTGCAGAGGTAAGAAGAACTCACGCGCAGCTTCTGCTAGCTGGGAAAGCGCAGCCTTTGCTGCTAATCGGAGGATACACTCGCCTATGGCAATCGGCCTGGTTCCTCCGTCGGGCTTGTCGAGGGCAATCAACCGCGAAGCAGTGAGTAGCCGCCCTACCTCCACGCCCAGTTTTCCGCGCAAGATGGTGTTGACTAGCGCGTGTAGGTGAGTGCTGACTTCAGTGTGCATCAGGGCTGCTTCGCGCAGGTGCTCGAACGTCGTGCCAGAAGGGCCCGCCCCTACCCCATTCTCGCATTTGGAGAGAAGCTTCAGGAAGACTTCCCGTGAGACTGACAGGTAAGAGTCTGGTTCGGGTTGGGGCCACGGGGTGTCAGGGCGCTGGGCCCTTGGGTGTTTGGCGCGCTGACTGGCGTGGCTTCAAGTGCCATAACGGCCCTCCTCAGACTGCCACGTCGCGCCAGTCCTTCAGCTCTGGAGATTATCCCCAGGTTGTCTGGCTGATGCCTTGGGGGGGAAGGGAGATTGAGCGAGTCCACTGTCTCCTGATACAGTGATTCCCACTCCCCTCGCAGGAATTTGCGCAGACGATTTTTGGTGGCCTTCCAATCAGGGTGCTTTGGTGAGTGCTGACGCAGCGTCAGGCGAGCGGCAAACAGCAGCACAGTCCAGGCTTGGGTGGAGTCAGGGTCGCGGGCGAGGCGCAACAGTGGCGTCAGGATAACCATTGCGAAAAGAAGGCGGAGTTTTTCTAGCAGGCGACGTGTCAGAGGTGAGTTGCGACTGTCACGAAGCAAATCTAGGTTCCAGTCAGTTACGCATGCGAAAAGCGTGTCGTCCCTAGCGAGGGCCTCCGGCGATTTTTGGGGGGGCGGTTGTGTCTGCTGCTGGTTACCCCTCGCCACCGTTCGTGGTGCAGTGGTAGGTGCCGATGTCAGGTTTGGAATGGCGGGCTGGTTGGCAGTGGTGGCGGGGTTGGCAGAGATGGTTCGACGCTGTGGAGAGGGTCGCGGCTGGGTGGGTGTAATGTGGAAATTCGTTGACGCGCTTCGGGCGTGGGTTGCGATCGTCCTCTGTCGAGCAGGAATTTGTGAGTCAGCCTCTTCAGAGGCATTCGAACTTGAGTCCACGCCATCTTCCTCCGCCTCATAAATACTCCCCGAAAGAGCTTCAATTTCATTAGCTTCTCCCAACGTATTTAAAGCCCGCCTTGCTGCCGCCTGGAACGCGTTCTCCGGGCCACCTTCTCGCGCACCTCTGCCGCGCCCGCGACCTCCGGCGCGACCTCCTCTCAACCCCGCGCTGGCCGCGGCCAGCTGTGGGCCTCCTCGATTTCCTTCCCCCGTGCCCTGACGCAGTCGTGCGTCCTCCAATGCCTGCTGCTGATGCGTTCGCCGCGATGGTGACAGAAGCAGCGAGGTCAGTGGTGGACCAAGGGCACACCGCTGAGAGCGTGCTTGCTCTCCCCCCCCCCGGTCCTGCTGCCCCTGCCGTCCAGGCTCCCGCTGCTCCAACTGCTCCCCCGGTTCCGTCCGCCGCCGCTGCGCCGCCGACGGCCCCAATCCTAATGGCATCTGCTCCCCCGCCAAGCCTCCCACCTCCTCTCGGTGCTCTCGCCCCTGGTGCGACCGCGCCTGTTGCGCCGCAGGCGCCTGCGGCGTTACCACTTGTCCAAGCTGCTGCTGGTGTCCCTGCGCAGGGGACAGCGGCGGGCGCCGCCCACGGCCCCGCGCAGCCGGTCGCTCCCGCGTCTGCGCCGGTTCAGCCCGTTGCGCAGCAGCGCGCGGAGTCAAACAGTCGCGGCGCTGCTGGAGGCAGTGCAGCGGCGCAGCGGGGGCGAGGTTCTCCTCGGCGTCGCCCCTCCCCCTCGTACCGGAATGCGCATCGCGGAGGCCGCGGTGGCTGGTGGGGAGGTCACGGTCGCGGGCGTGATGCGCCAAGCGAGATGCAGCAGTTGCGTGACGACTTCCCTGGCATGTTGGCCGCGGCGATGCGCGCGGCTCTGAGCAGTGCGCCGACTCCTGGCAGCTCGCTGGCTGCTGCTGCTGCACCGCACTCCCCTGCTCCTGCGGCTGCCCCGGCTCCCCTTGCTGCACACGCGGTTCCTGCGCCGAGTGCTCAGGCGTTCCCGCAGGGACCAGCCGCGCCTCGTCATGTTCCCGTGGCCCCATATCCTCCTCTTGCATGGGTTCCCCCCGTTCCGGGCACGGGATTTGTGGGAACGGGAGGCGGAGCGGCGAGGGGGCCATTCCGCCCTCCGCGTCGTGTTGACGAGGTTGCGGCTGCACCCCCTCCGCCGGCTCTTCCCGCTCCTGCCGCGGCGAGGCTGACCGGGACTGCTGAAGTGCCCACGGCGACCCTTGCGCAGCTGTGGCGCTTGGTGGAGTGCCAGCAGGCCCTGACACTGATTCTGGTGAACTCGCACTTTGCCATCCTCCGGAACCCAGGGAGCACTCTCGATCCGATGGCGCGAGCTGATTGTGTGGCAGCAGCCACGCAGCTTGCCTTCCTCCTGCTACCCGTGCTGGGAGCGCCCGCGCCGGGAGGCGTTGCGGTATCGCAGCTGGACGCGACTGTCCAGGATCTGACTGGACACCTCCGCGATGGTGGCGCCGTTGAAGCTCTTGGCGCGACCGCGTTAGTGGTCCGCCAGATGTGGAGGACCATGCGAGGGATCCTCGCGGCACTAGACGCCCACTTAATGTAGGTTGTGGCGCCCGCCGCACGTAGACGTGCTGCATCTTGTTTGTCTAGTTGTTTCTCGTGCAGTCCTCCTCCATTTGGCTTGTGTGTTGTTTGTTTCTTTTCCAGAGTTGTTGCTTGCCACCCGAGAGCACGCGGCCGAAGGCCGCGCACGCGAGCGCTGGCGGCCGAAGGCCGCCGGCGCGAGCGCCCAAGAAAAACTGGCACCAAACGAACTAATGGCAGAGAAATGACCCCAAGGGCCCTATATATAGCTAGAGGGCAGAGGCAGAGGCTAGAGGCAGAGGCTAAGTCCTCTCTCTCTCTCTCTCGCTCTCTGCGAGCGCCCAAGAAAAACTGGCACCACTGCCTCTCCTCTCTCTCCTGCTCTCACCCCAACGCTCAGCCCCACAGGACTGGGAATAGAGTCACAGAATGCAGCAGGCACTGGCATAGTGCCTCAGAAAGGCACACTCTGTCACTCACAGAATGCGCCGGTGCACGGGCTTGAGTCCATCCCTGGCGTCAGGGAGGGCGCGGCCGACAATGACGGACATGGCATACGACACATACGACTGCACCGCCTCCTCATGCAACTCCACCTCCTCCACCTTGCCCGCTGCCACTGCCTCTCCTCTCTCTCCTGCTCTCACCCCAACGCTCAGCCCCACAGGACTGGGAAAGGAGTCACAGAAAGCAGCAGGCACAGGCATACTGCCTCAGAAAGGCACACTCTGTCACTCACAGAATGCGCCGGTGCACGGGCTTGAGCCCATCCCTGGCGTCAGGCAGTGCACGGCCGACAATGACGGACATGGCATACGACACATACGACTGCACCGCCTCCTCATGCAGCTCCACCTCCTCCACCTTGCCCGCTGCCACTGCCACCACCGCTGCCCCGTTGCCACTCCCTGCCCCTTTTCCACTCGCTCCCTCACTCCCACTCTCAAGCCCAGTCTCAAACCCACTCTCACTCCCGCTCTCCAGCCCACTCTCAATCCCGCTATCAAGCCCGCTCTCGATCCCACTCTCTCCCGCTCTCGTGCTCCCACTCCCGCTCTCCGCCTCCTCCTCTCCCTCTCCTCCCTCCACACCCCCCACCTCCTTCCCCCTTCCTGCACCACTCACAGTTGCTCTCCTCTGCCCCTGCCGCTGTTCCCCACCCCCCTGCGCCTCCTCCCCCATCCCCTCCGTTCCCCTCACCGCCTGCACTTGAACCTGCCTCATCCCCTGCCTCTCCCCCTGCCCCTGTCCCTGCTCCTTCCCCTGCCCCTGCCGCTGCCCATCCCTCTCTGCATCCAAGTCCTTGGGAGAGCGGGAGCTGCTGGAGAATGAAAAGGAAGTCAGCTTGCGGGTCAGCAAGGGTTTATCAGACCCAGCTGCAGCAGCTAGAAGCCGATTGCCTGTCGCCCCGAATGCCGCTGCTGGTGGGGTTACCAACCCTCTGCTGTTTCCTCTCCTGCTAAACCCGAAACTTTGATGTCTCGTCATGGTAAACCCTAACCCCTGAACCCTTGGCGGTGACTGGTAGTGTTTGGGGAAGCTACTCGCGTGCACCTGCCGGTGAAAGTTGCTGCGAAGCTTCTCTAGCAGCAACAGCGACGACGAATACGCAGTTGACTGGGTGCTGCTGAACTGGCCTGATGCTAAACCAGCACCACTGCAAATGCCTCTGCTAATGCCGCTGCCAATCCCTCTGCTAGTGCTCATGCTTTTCATGCTAGCAGAGGCGGTGGTAGGCGTTGAACTGAGCCCCCTACACGCCAACGGCTCCATTCCTGAGCTCAGAAAATGCAAGCCTTGGGATTGAAGGAGAACACTGTAGCAGCTGATGCTGCGAGTTTGGCTAATGGACGGTGAGATTTGGGCTTGGATCGGGATCAACGGTCGAGATAGGGTGGAGAGAGGGGACGGCCTCAGGGCTGACTGGAGGAGGTGGGAGGAACGGATGCTGAGGTGGCCAAGCGTCGCACTTGGAGATTCTGCCACGTGGGCAATCCACGGCCTCGTCAGCAGTTTGGCCTGGATGTTGGGGGGGAAGGGGAGGAAGGAGAGAGGGGGAAGGAGGGAAAGAGAGGAGGGAGACACGGCTGGCTGAGTAGCGCAGAGAGGTGGCGATTTGGGGCGGAAGCATGGGGAAAAAGAGGAGGGAAGGTAGGAAAGAGAGGAGGGATACAAAGGGGGCTAAGTGGCGGAGAGAGGGGGCGACTGGGACCGGAACCATGGGATAAGCGAGAAGGGGATTGGGTGGGGGAAAGCGAGGGCAACGGAGAGAGGAGAGGGAAAGGCGAAGGGGAAATCTCGAAGTGTCAGTCTGTGAGGGACGGACAGCGCAAGTTAGAGGCGACGAGGGAAATATCGTCGCAATCTGGGAAGGGACATTTCTTGGGTGGAAGGTCATCGATCGCAGGGTACTTGCAGGGACTACAGAATCTCAAGACTCTCAAGATGACCATTGAGCTATGGAGGGACTGTGATTCTGCAACCCTCAAGATTCTCATAGAATGCTCGGATTCCCAGATTCGTGCGAAACTACCAATGGGCAACGGCGCGTGGAGTAAGGGCGAGCGCGCGTACCGAGTGCATGCTACTGGCGGCGGCGAGTTGGGTATTTCTTGATTCCGTTACGACGCGATGTGGAACGCACACCCTACAGCCCAGCTCACGCGGCGCTGCCCAGCATTCCGACCGTCCTGCTAACTGTGCCCTGATCGTCCTGCTAGTGATCCAGTTTGCAGCAAGAATTGCTCTCCCCTCAAAGTTTCCAAACCAGAGCTGTTTCGGCTGGGGGGACCGTTCTTGTCTGGTGTGGTGGGCAGTGGGTAGTGCTGCAGACGAGGGGTCTCAGAAAAATCCCGAGCAAGCAGCAGCACCAAATTCGCGCCCAAATCGTCAATTCCGCGGTTGAAATGCTGGTAAAATGTTGGGTTTGATGAAAGTTTGAAAGTTTCGACTGACCGCTCCTTCGAAATACCACCCCCAAAATTTTCACTTTCAATAATGCACAACCCTCCAACCCAGACCAGCTTCCCTTGTCTCAGTTCGTGTCCGTAGGGTTGACATGTCAAGTGAGAGCGTGTCAACCCGAAACGCATTCAAATTAGAGTGTCAAACTCTGTAGCTGAAGTGTCAAGCCGAAGCGCATGTACGAACATCAGCGACGGAATTTCATTGGTTTGAGAATTTGTCATGGGTGGATCTGCCAGGTAGCGAACAAATCAGAAGACAGATTGTGTGCTGATTGGGCAGCATCTGGTCGTGAGATAGGCACCTGCGACCATCTTCTCTCGTTTGTAGGTTTGACTGTGCCAATTTAGAAAGTGTCCGACGATTTGTATTGGATGGCAACCTGCAATTTCTTGACACCCTGCCAACAATGTTGGCTGAGTGTCAAAATGCCAAATTGACACTGCCCACTTTGACATGTCATCCCTACGGACACGACCTCACCTCAAGCGATGTGATGTGAAATCCTCTCAAACGCTAATTGCTGAGCTGAGCTCTACAAAATCTGGTCTCATATTTACTCGCTTCCGAACGCTTCACGCTCGCGCCCGCATTTCACGGACGCTTTGACGCCATGGCCTCTCTCCTCGGTTCGGCTACCAGCCACTGCCGCGTCCCTGTGCAGCACGCGCTGCCACGTCAGCCAGCAAATCCCAATGCCTCTGGTCGAGCATCCTTTCCGAGAAGGTCATTGGCGATAAGGTCGTCCGTCGATGATTCCGTCAACGTTTCCGTCAACGGCAAATGCTCGGAACATCTGTCGCAAGAGCATTCTCCCGCAGCAGCAGCAGCAGCGGAAACGGGAGCAGCAGCGGCGGCGGGTGTGAGTCGTCGGTCAGTTCTCCTCGCTCCATCTACCGCTGCCGCCGCCGCTGTGGCGCTGAGCCTAGGGATTGCCGCGACAGCCGCCCCTGGAAGCGCACAAGCGTTCGGCCTGGGTGCGCGCTACTTGCTTAGCATTGTAGGAGCAATGGAGGAGCATGGACCCTTTAGTAACCCTTCGCATTTTTCGTTCTCCTCCTGTCCTCTCAGCCGCTCCGTTCTCTCCGCCCTTTCCGCCCTTCGGCCCCTCCGCCCTTTCCGCCCTTCCGCCCTCTCCGCCCTTTCCGCCCTTCCGCCCTCTCCGCCCTGCCGGCCTCTCCGCCCTCCCGCCCTTTCCGCCCTTCCCCCCTCTCGCATCGACCGCTGCGCCCACGGAGCAGTGCAGCAAGAAGAAGCGCAAGGCCATTCGGTGCCTCGGACACACCTCCTATTTCCTTCTGGTTCCTCCCACTCCCCACTCCTGCACCCCTTCATTCCCTGATTCATCTCACACTTCTCCCTGCCTCGCCCCAACCGTCCCCATCACTCCAGCGGGCCCCAAGGAGTGGCTCAAGGCGCAGAAGTGCATGCATTCGTCTGTGATGCCTCAGACATTCCCTAATTCCTCTCGCACTTCCCCCTGCCTTTCGCAATCCTTCCCCACCACACCAGCGGGGCCCAAGGAGTGGCTCAAGGCACAGAAGCGCAAGTCAATGCAGTTTCTGCTCAACCCCCTCATGGTCTCGTCTGCTCGCCTCGCAGCTGCCAAGGCTGAGTTTGGTGAGTAGTACCTAGCTGTGTGGCTGTGTGGTTGTGTGGTGTGGGTGCACATGTGATGCGGGGTTGCGTTGTGCTGAGTTGACTGGAAGTTCTGCCCGTCTTGCGGCTGCCAAGGTTGAATTCACTGAGTAACAGTGTGGCTCGGTGCGTGCAGAGTCCATCTAGGGGTGCGTGAGTGAGTGGTCTCTGTGAGGCAAGCACAGAACTCAACCCTCTCATGTTCTCCTCTGCGTGTCTCGCTTCTTTCTCCTGTCTCCCATGCCTTCTCTCTCCCATCTCCTCACTCGCTCACTGCAGAGGCCTCCAATAGTCCCTCTGAGCTAGCATCGGTGCAGGCAGGAGTGTGGAAGCCTCCCTTGACTGCCCCCCTTCCACCATCCAACACACCCCCCACTTTCTCCTCTCTCCCCTCCTCTCTCCCCTCCCATTTCCTCCCTTACCCCCTCTCCACTCACTCACTGCAGAGGCCTCGCACTATTCCATCGGAGCTGGCGTCGGTGCAGGCAGGAGTGAGGGAAGCCTCCCTTCACTGCCTCGCTTCCGCCATCCAACACACCCCCTACTATCTCATCCTCTCTCCATCCCCTCCACTTTTCCATTGCAGAGACCTCTACCACCCCCTCTGAGCTGGCGTCAGTGCAGGCAGGAGTGCGGGAACCCTCTCTGGACTGCCTCACTTCCACCATCCATCACACCGTCTTCTTTCCTCCTCTCTCTTCCCCCTCCATTCTTTCATTGCAGAGGCCGCCACCACCCCCTCTGAGCTGGCGTCGGTGCAGGCAGGAGTGCGGGAAGCCTCCCTTGACTGCCTCTCTTCCACATCCATTACACCCTCCACTTTCTCCTCCTCTCTCCGCTCCTTCCACTCTTTCATTGCAGAGGCCGCCACCACCCCCTCTGAGCTGGCGTCGGTGCAGGCAGGAGTGCGGGAGGCCTCCCTGGACTGCCTCTCCTCCACCATCCATCACACCGTCTTTCCTCCTCTCTCCGTCCCCTCCTATCTCTCATCGCAGAGGCCGCCATCACCCCCTCTGAGTTAGCATCGGTGGAGGCTGGAGTGCGGGAAGCCTCTGTTGACTGCCCCTCTTCCACCATCCACCACACCTCCTTTCCTCCTCTCTCCGTCCACTCCACGATTTCATTGCAGAGGCCGCCACCACCCCCTCTGAGCTGGCGTCAGTGCAGGCAGGAGTGCGGGAAGCCTCCCTGGACTGCCTTGCTCCAGGCTTTACTCCTGGCGTGGAGGTGAGTAGGGTGTGTGCAGTGAGGGGCGCGGAGGCGAGGGGCATAGAGAAGAGGGGCGTGAGCACTGAGCAGTGAGGGGCGTAGAGGTGAGGTGTGCGCAGCGAGGGAAGCCTCCCTTGACTGCCTCGCTCCAGGCTTTACTCCTGGCGTGGAGGTGAGGGGTGTGAGCTGTGAGGGGTGTGAGCTGTGAGGGGTGTGAGCTGTGAGGGGTGTGAGCTGTGAGGGGTGTGAGCTGTGAGGGGTGTGAGCTGTGAAGGGTGTGATCTGTGAGGGGCGTAGAGGTGAAGAGTGTGAGCAGTGCGGGACGTAAAAGTGAGGGTTGTAGAGGTAAGGGGGTAGAGGTAAGAGGTTGGGAGGATGTGATGAGTGTGGCAAGCTTCTGAACCGCGTCTCTGCTCGATAAGTTGTGAGGCGCATTGAATCAAACGTTTCTGCGCCCAATTCCCGCCCCCCCACACGCACCTCCTCTATCCCCCAGCTGTGCACGTTCAAGCTCATTCTCAAGAACTCCGCCTCGCTGCTGGATAAGAACGACCCCGCGCTCGTGCTGGGGGAGGAGGCACTGCTGGACCTCATCTGGTGCGCGGGAGGGGGAGAGAAGTGTGGGGTAGGGGGAAGGAAGTAGGATGGACAGGGATGAGCTTTCTTGAGATGTCTCAAAGAACGACCCGGTGCTCGTGCTGGGAGAGGAGGCGCTGCTGGACCTCATCTGGTGGGTGGGAGGGAGGCGAGAAAGTGTGGAGTAGGGGGAAGAGAGCTGGATGTTAATTGGTGAGTTGTTTTTAAAGGGCACAATGAATGACCCAGCGCTCGTGCTGGGGGAGGAGGCGCTGCTGGACCTCATCTGGTGAGCGGGAGTGGGGAATAGGTGTGGGGATGGGGTGAAGGGAGCAAGATGTGTACATACGAGCCATGGGAAGGCTTATGAAAGTGTTCAACTGAACTGATTTCCAGAATCTGTCATACTTCAGCTCCTTTTACACCTTTTTTTTTTAAACCCTCCTCCCACTGAACTTCCCCGTCTCCCCTTTTTCCACCTCTACTGATATGGTGGCTCGCTCATTCCTCGTCCCGTTGACTTGACCAGGTCGTACAGACAGCTGCATGGGTTGTTGGACGAGGCACAGGGCTCCGACCCCCCTCCTCGGTGAGTTTCTGTGTCTCCACTGCTTCATACCCACGTCCCACTCGCCTTTTACAAGTAAGTTATCATCATGTGGGTGTATTCGCTTCGCAGTGGTGACTGGCATTAGGAAGTAATCATTCCCACGCGATACTTGCATTGGTCCAACCATCCTTCCTTGTCATAGCGTATCACCAGTGGTTCCTGAGTCATGTCTACTGGCATCCAGCCATGGCACCTTCACTTACCTCTGCGACCAACACCATACATATCCTTGGCTTGTCCAAGCACAGAATCTGTAAGACCCCCTTTCCATTGGACTTAATGCCTGCATTTTGTTTGGCAGGGAGTACATTATGGATGCCTTCAGCAATGTGGAAACTGCCTCGAAGTTTTTCCAATCAACCATCGAGACCATCTTTGACACCCCCGTTTGACTTGAAGCCTTAGGTCCTCCAGGGTCTTTGCCCGTCCGTTGCTGGACAACAATTTTGGCATCACCTGGAGATTTTTCACCGGTTTTTGTCTGCTCAGCAGCCGTCCATACAGTTTTCTTGGTGTTGGCTAGCTCTGCCATGGTGTTACTGATTCTCATGAACCAATACCATTGTGTACACATTGCGATTGCGAC